CCCTCTCGCATATACACACCAATCAGGAAGCTGCCAGCAATCTTATCTCCACGAAGCTCTATTCTGTCCTCTCGATCGCTGCAAGGGGTCTGGTCCGGTAGGTTTGATCGAAGCCGAAAGTTTGACCACTGCAGGCATTGCATGATCGAACACTTCGGTGCGGACCGTTTGTCTGGACAGGACATCCGCAAGTTACGTGTCAACCTTACCACCCACCATGCTGCACAGCTCGCAATCCTGCAGGTAATTAAAGTCTTTAATGATGCCATGATGATCACTACGCAACATTTAGCGGCGCCGTTGGTCTGCTCTTTGAAACAACTCCGATGCTGCAAGATGTGCAGGAGCGATCTGGGCACCTAGATGAGAGAGCTGGATATCGATACCCTGCGCGTGCGTCTTCCCCAACGAAACGCTTGCAGAAATGATTGGGCACCAGTGCGACATACCATCAGATACCCCATTGCCTCTTGGAGTAATGCCGGGACATCCTCATCTCCCATTCCAAGCTTGTGGATGCCCCAATGTGGTCGAGCAAACAACGAGCATCCTTACATATCATGCCCAACAACGCCCAACAGGGCCAGCACGTTGGAACTTGTTGAGAAGAGTCACAAAACCGGTTGCAGTCGTGAGGGGTGGCACCCGCACTGGTTGTTTAGGGCTGACTGTGTAGCACTCGTTTCGTTCATGATCAGCAGATAAACGGTTGCTGATCTCGCCGAGAGAAGGACCGAAGAAGCCGTTGGATTGACATGGGGAGGCTTCGCGCCGTCCACGGTTTTTTGGCTTATCTCGGGGGATCTGTGACTGGGGTTTTGCAAGATTGTCTCTGGTCGCGATCTCTGCGGTGTTACTTTTTGGGGTAATGGCGCTGTTGGAGCTCGCACATAGCACGCAATCGGGATGTTGTGGTCAGTCGGTCAATACAGGGGATGTGGCAATCAATAGTGATGCTGAATGCGGGTGCATGGAGCAGTGCTTGAGCCGCGTCGTTCTTTGCTGGGTTGAGCGGCTCCAGCTGCACTGAATGGCTGACGAACCCCGCAAGGGAATGCGCGTTCGCTCTTGCAGGCGCTCGACGCGCACTGCAACGTCTCCCAGGAAGCTGCCTTCGCAATGTGGCATCCATTTGCCCGCGATAGCGTAGTCCCTTTGGGAGTTCCGTTCCTCTGGAGCCTCATTCTTTTTCGAACCGCTCTCCTCCGTTGGCATGCTAACTGCCGTGTTCGCCCAAAGTCTGACATAAGATCAATGTGAGCCTGATCGGTGCACGTGGGAGGCAATCGCCCCTTTTCTCATCCCTTTCACGGTGCAGTGCGAGGTTGGGTACGTGTAGCTGCAAGAGACGTAATGTAGGTGTAGTGATAGTGGATAAACGGCAAGTAACGAGTGTTGTTAAAAATACACATTGCCACCCAGTACCATGAACGTGGGTATCACCATGGCGAAGGCACATTCGATCCTTCGCCCAAGATGTTGTCCAAAGCCACGGATGAGCTACTTGGCCCTCCCAACTTTCTGCCGTGTGCTTCCAGCAGCTTCTCATGGCAAAAGCCGATGAGCTTCTTTCGAAACTCGGGATTGCTATGTGTGCACAGCTGATAGTGATTGCAATCAGCTACCATCATCTCCTCGTTTGGCAAGCCCATCTTGGCCATTTCGTACGTGACAATCTGCGGTATACGTTAGACACTTTCTTCATCAAGGCCCATTATCGTTGATAATGGGTATGCTGTCTCCTTGACGTACCACAAATTTCTCTGCTCTCCATCTGCGCCCGGTCAACCTCGTCTCCTCTATTCGCATTGCATCGCTTTCTCGCCCATCCCAGACTGATAAGATAGGTAGGCGGGGGGCATTTTGCCGGATATACTTGTCGAACTCCTCTGACAGAGAGCGGACATATTCGGTATCTTTCAGGTCTAGGAGCTTCCTGTGAAGGGGCTCCGACTTTCTGGATGTCGGTGCTCTCGTAATGACGCCTAGTATGCTCTCTGCATCCGTCGAGTTTGCTTTCGTGAGATGGGGTGTTCCGAGTAGAGCAATTCCGACTGTGTTGTTGACTATGTCCTCATACCAACGGATTGGAAAGCCTCGGTGCTGGGGGCCACTTGAATTCCAGAAGAACTGGCCGGTATTAGCATTAATCTATCTTTATTGCTGCACGAACCTACGTCTTTAATGATCAAGCCTCCGACGCCGTGTCCCAGAAAAACCATAGGTATAGACATAGTCTGTGGAATTCGATTAGATAAAGAGCTTTTCCCGAGAGTGTGAGTACCTACACCAGTCTGCTCGCGATGTTCGTGGAGCAGCTGCATCATCGTATGCGAACTCTCCCGTAGTTGATCCCAGCGGCGGAAGGTTCTTCCATTCACTCTCAAGTCATGTTCGAGTGCAAAAACTTGTATGTTCATGAAGTGCTTTGTGAAGTCACGTACAAGTGGCTCATTTTGCACTCCGTCTCTGCTCCATATTTCGACGGGGGGATCACCCACACCCGGTATTACGATGATGCTATATGTGTAAATACGCAAGTACGATTTATGATCGTATATATGTACTTACAATGCATCTGGGTCCATTGTGTGCGTGAGGTCGTTTGGTAAAGACAGTGGCCTGAGCGAGCAGCCCTTTTGTTGAATAATTGAAGGATCTTTTGACCATCCTGGGCTGACAGGGCTGACGTTATCCACGGAAAGCGATGAAAATGGCATCGCTCTCGTCCAGTGACCGCTGGGTGTTCTTGGTGAGGTCTGCGATGCTGACTGAGAAGGTGATGCCTCTGATATGGTTGTGCTGGGCGAAAGACTATAGTCATTGACTGCGATAGGCCGATCAAAATAGTCATCAGATTCTTCCAGAGACTCTTTACTGTCTAGAGCAGACTGTATTGTGACTGATGGTGTCACATGTGACGGTGTGGTATTAGCAGAGAGGCGCTTTACTCCCGAGTTCCTCGAACTCTTTGCGCTTTCCGCTCTTGCCGAGTCTGTTGGGCCACTGACTTCCATTTCTGACCAAGCTAACGACTCTTGAGATTGTGCTTTTTGCACATTTTCGTACACATGATCTTTAAAGATGGCATAAGCGTTGGTAGAGCCATTGGGAGATAATGACGGTTCTTCTACTAGTGTCGTAAGACCAAGGGCATTGTCGTGGGAGTCTAGCGAAATAGACTGATCCTTTCGCCGTGAAAAAGTGGAAAACTTGTCCATGGCAGCGGTTTTGACAGCATCGAGAGTTTTGTACACTAGAGTAGAAGCTTGTGTATCAGGAGTAGTCTGAGATGCGATGGAGGCTGACTTCGGATCGTGACGTAAGAGAAACCGGGCGATATCAAGCGTACTGCGACCAGTCTCGGTTGACGTGGATGTTGTCCTATGCATGGTCAGAACAATAGGACTGCGTTAGATGGAAAGGGCTCTTACGTACTCTAGGGATTCGAGCGACGCTGCAAGAGATTCCGCTCTTTGTTCTGCAAGCCAAGTATCGTGCAGTGCGCCGGAGGCCGTGAGTCGATCCTCGGGAATGACTGCCAAAAGTCTTTCGATACAATCACATCCAGGCTGTGAGACGTCGTACTTCTGTAGCAAGTCCTTAGGGAACGGCGTTTTGTAGTTGACGTAGGATAGCAAATCTTTCGCGAAAGGGCGCACCCCAGTAAGAGCCACAAATACCAATGCGCCCAAAGCCCAGATGTCTACAGCGTTTGTATATGGTTTTGAGTCGGCGAAAGTCTCAGAATGAAGTTTACCGCCGTACGCAAGCATTTCAGGTGCCATGAAGGCAGGTGTACCAGTGACTGTATGATGCAACTCGGCGTTATCCATACGCTTGCTGATCCCAAAATCGCCGAGCTTGATCCACCAACGAGGGCCAGTCTCTTTGATAAGTATGTTTTGTGGCTTTAGGTCGCGATGGATGAATTCGTCTTTGTGCATACATTCGAGCCCTTCTAGTATCTGGCAAGCGATCTGTTGAACTTCGAGCTCTGGTAGTGGGCCGGACTTGTCGAGATAACAGCCTAGATCTCCGTGGGGAAGGTATTCCATCGAGATGAAGACGTGCTCGTCATTTTCGTACCATCCAAACGACTTGACAAACCATGTGTTGAACTAAATTGACAGGTGCATCAGCTCTGTACAACGCGGTAGACCACAGCTCGAATGGAGATGGAGGAAGATTTACCCGGTCTTTGGAAAACTTTGCTATCGCATGTAGCTCGCGATTGTAGTTCTTTGCATCTTCCTTGTTGATTTTCTTGACAGCTCGTACGTCGCCGTCGCCACCTCCTACCAGCCTCTCCAACCAAACGACCCCGAATGCTCCCTGCCCAAGTTCTTGGTTCGCCTTCCACTTATGCTTCTTCCGATCAATCAGATGAATCGTGCAATCTTTCTTGAAGACAGTGTCCAGCTTCGTGTCATTCACTAATTCCGACGCGGGCGCTATAGCGACGGTGTCTTCGGAAAGTGGGGCAGCCATGTGCGCCAAGGGGATGCAGCGAAGGCCTGGGATAGAGTAGACACAACAACGGAAAAAGCTGATGGCCGGGTAGCGACGAAAGAATTATGGACGGAAAGTGCGTGAGGGGTGGGATGTACATCGGAAGCAGCAGCGGCGTCATGATGCGACCCCAGCCTACCCCGCTGATGTATCCAGGTGGCACGGCAGGCACTGCCAGTCTCGCCCCCAACCACGTATAGGCGGGAGAGATTAACCCTGTAACTCTTCTCGTATGTATATTAGCCAGCCTTGCGCTGTATCACACAGCCGCTCCCGTGTCTATTCGCATCTTTTACGGCCCCTCACTCGCAGCCAGCAACGACTATCACTGCCCGTTCCGTCGACTCTTTGACTGTACGCCGCCACCCTGTCTATTCCCGCCCCTGCATGCCATCCGGTCTTATCTTTGTTACTCACTTCTTCGAGCAACCGGTCGGGTATCGCAGTCACATTCAAGCCTTTATACGACAGTCGATCAACACTGCGCAATGTCCATCGAAGTGGCGCTTGCAATCATCGCGACTGCTGATCTGGCGATCAAGTGAGTGCTTTGCCTGGGCAGTAGACTTCTGATGACTGAGCTTCTAGGTATGGGAAGAACCTCGTCCAGATGTACAACAGCTACCAGAATGCGGACAAAGAGATCGGTGAAAGGCTGTTGAAAATGCAAGTGATCTGGCACCAGGTTCAGTGGCAAGTCCAATACCTCATGCGCGTTCGGAAGGCCCTAGAAGAGGAATTCTTGGCTATGCAAGACCAGATACTCGGACAGTTGGTGAACAGATTGAAGGCGGCCATGAGCGAAGTTCAGAAACTCGAAAAGAAACAAGGTCCTACTGAAACCGACCCGAAGGCGACGAAAGACACGCAATATAGCAAATGGAAGTACCCTTTCATCAAGAAGGGCTTGGACGCTGCCATAGGCGAGTTGAAGGAATGGCAGGGATATTTCGACCCGGGTTGGTACCACATCATGCGGATCTCAGACAACTTGGTCGATACCGGGTTTAAGAAGCCAAAGTCATCCGCAGAACAAGAACCAATGGAGGATGCTGCGCGTAAGATAATGTCCAAGGCAAAGACTGTCCGCAATTGCCTGAGAATGGATCCCCAAAGCGGAAGTACTACTGTCTTCATGAAAGCGGAAGAAACGTCAAACTACAACTACACGGCAATACCGTACTCGACTGCATATATCTGCCATCGCAGCTCAAAAGACCCGCTAATAGCAGACTCTGTCCCCGCCACGCCAGGCATCAGCCTCGACATCCAGAGCAGAGACGTGCGCGACCTTGCCCGCAAGCTCACAGACACAGACCCGATAAGCTTCTGCTTACTCAAATGCCGTGGCGTTTCGCGAGTATACAAGACCAATGGCTCTCTCAAAGCCTTCGACTTCCACTTCCACATACCGTCCTCCCTACACTCGCCGCAAAGTCTGCGCAACATCCTGATCGAATCGAAGCCCAACATGAGTCTCAGCGTACGCTTCCGCCTCGCACAGCAGCTAGCGCGGTCCTTGAGCTACGTCCACATGTACGAGTTCGTGCACAAAGGCATTCGCCCCGAAACAGTCCTTATCTTCGACAGCGGCAAGACCGAGCTCGCACACTCCTTCTTGCTTGGCTTTGAGAAGTTTCGCGCAGATGCAGGCCGCACATTAAAGACTAGCGACTCTGTCTGGGAAAGAGATCTGTACCGCCACCCAGAGCGCCAGGGCGAGAAACCAGAGGAAGCATACAAGATGCAGCACGACATCTACAGCCTGGGTGTTTGCTTGCTGGAGATAGGTATGTGGCGCACACTCGTCACGTACAACAGTGTGAAGGGGGAGCCCACCCCGTCGCAACTCCTGCCGCCGCCAGATTACTCTGAGAAGGACGAAGTGGGCAAGGCCAAGTCGATCAAACATACGCTCATCGGGATTGCGCAGCGTGAACTACCCAGTTGCATGGGCGATAAGTATACGGGTATCGTCACATCGTGCCTGACATGTCTGGATAAAAGCAATCCCGATTTCAGCGACGAGAACGACTTCAAGGATGAGGATGACGTTATCGTTGGGGTACGCTACATTCAAAAGGTTAGCAACAAGACTCTCACAACTTTGATACACTGCTAATGAGTTTGCCAGATCTTGCTTGGACTGAGTAACATCTCCGTCTAGAAGGTCGTCACTTAGACTTTGCGGCATCACTCACTTACACACGATGCATAAACACAAAGCAATCAAGCAAGCACATCATAACACATCTTCCAAATCTCTCACTCCGACCATACGGTGCTTTTCCATTTAATTCTCCACCAACCATGCGCCCATAGGGTATCATTGCTCCATACCCAGTGCAAACCAGTCCCTGTCCACACCATGCTATGCAGTACTTATCGTGTTTGGAAAACAACCGAAAACCCAAGAAACGCCCTCGCTATGCATACAAAAATCCTTATATGATACACTTCCTCCGCCTACTCCTCCAAACTCAATCCCCCAACTGCGACCTCCGTGATCGCAGTACTCGTGTGACGCGTCGGTTCAATAGTGAAGGCAAGGCCAAGGTGCGGATACGGAAGGATCAGACGACTAATCCGACAATTCAATTGCATCGTCTTCCGTCGCACCCGGTTTGCCGTTCGCACCTGGATCCGCTGCACCACCGCCTTCGTCACTACCGTCCTCACTACCCTCTTCTTCATCTTCGTCTTCGTCCTCGTCTTCTTCGTCGAAGGACTCTGCATCCTCATCTTCTTCAATCTCGTCTTCCTCATCGAGATCAGAGTCCTGGTCGTAATCGAGCAGTTCCTCGTCGTCGCCGTCGTGCATCTCAGAGTCTGCGTCTTGGTCTTCTGCGTCTCGGTCGTAGTACTCTTCTTGTTGCTCCTGCTCCTGATGTTGCTGGTAGGGTGCAGCCTGGGAAGGAGTAAACTGCGCTTCGGGATAAGATGATGTGGTGCCGAAGTGGTTGTAAGACTGGACGTCCTCTTCGTTGTCAGTCATGATGGCGTGCTCATCCTGAGCATCGACATCGATGACGTGTGCGCCGTTGATTGATGCAAAATCGCTAGTGAACTGGTCTTGCTTGTAGCTCATCGGCTGGGATGAAGTCTGTTGGACGAAGGAAAGCTGCGTGGGTATCGGTGATGAGATATCCAGTGGCTCTGTGCTGGCGGGTCGGGTGCTAGCAGGTGATTTGCTGAGACCATTTTCGATTCTGTAGGCACGAACGGCTTCCGCGCCTTGGCCGTAGAGATGGCGTGGTACGAAGCGGCTTGTGCGTTCCCAGTATGCTGGACGGTTCTTGGTGGATGTGCTGGTGCGGAGGGTGCTGCCATACGTGGATGTGCCGTATGTGGACTGTCGGCTCTGAGATGCCGAGAGTCCGAGGTTGGGCACGCTGCGGCTCCAGTCGTGTTGGACATTTGATAAAGTGGCCGCGGGAGATGCAAGACCCCTAGCCCGTGCGATGAGCTGGCTGGCATTTGCATCAAATGATCCTGATCGATACGACTTGCCTGGGGCGAAAGAAGGAGGCGGCATCTCAGCTCTTGAATCTGCCAGCGTCCGTCGGGCTCTTGCGATGAGATCGTTCGTTGAATCGTTGAATGAAGACCGTCCGCTAAACGACATCGCGCCGTTGAAGGAGTGAGACGGTGATGTTGTGGATGTTGATTGCCGGAAGGACTCTTTGATGGCTTCGGCACGAGCGCGTTGTTCCTCGAGCATAGTTCTCGGTGCTGACTGCTCATGCTGCTCCGGTGCAGGCGACGCTGGTGACAACTTGGGTCGCTTGGGCTCGATGAGCTTGGGCTTCTCTTCGTCTGAGGAACCAAAGTCGAAGCTGCGCTTCCTGTGCTTGCTCGGATCGATGCCCATAGCGCGCAACCTGAACCAGTCCGTCTCGGTCCGGTCTACTGGTGCATTCGCAACGGCTTGCTGATATGCCTGGGAGTATGCGGTGATTGATGTGCTGGCGTTGCTTGTGCTCTTGTCAAAGGTAGTCTCAGGAGATGGGTTGTTGACCGGCACCGATTTGGCTGAGTGCACACCATTCGTCTCAGAACTCTGAGCCTGATGTCGCTGTTGCGTTCGCTTGGCGCGCCGAGAATTCGAAGGTTGATGAGACACCGATCGCCCCTCTGGTTCTACTATTGCTGTCGTCTTACCGTTCGATGTTGCCGGCTGTACCGGTGCAGGCGCGTCTGCCGGTTCTTCGTCTGGTCGGGCCTCCGCCTTTGCCCGTTGCTCTTTCAGTCGCTTCCTCCTCTCTCGTGACTTCTGTAACTTCTTCTTCTTTTGCACCGCCAACATCATCTTGGCCAAGCCTGCCCGTTTCAACTCATCTAGATATCTCTTATGCTTCTGATCTACCATCGCCACTCTCCTCTCCATCTCTACAGTGATTGCAGCTTCCTTCGCTAAATTCATAGCAGCGTTGTCGACGAACTGCATCAGCAATCCCTCCTGGGGGTGGAACATAACATCCGCCGTGAGCGCATGCAATGCCGAGTCCTTCTCTCGTATGCGTGTTTGCCGTGCTTCCTCCTCTTGTGCTTGACGGAATCTCGCCTGTCGAGCCAACTCTTCCTGCTGCTCGCGTGCCTTGCGCTCTCGATCAGCCTGTTCTTGCCGCTGTCGCGCAGCCGCAGCTTCCGCAGCCTCAGCCTCACGCTTCTGCTCTGCTTCCTTCGCTTGCTTTGCTCGTTGGGCTTCCTGTACACGTTGGCGTGCTTCGTCCAGTTTCCGTTGCTTCTCAGCTGCCTCCTTCTCTGCCTTCTGTGCTTCATCTTCTTGTGGAGAAGAATCCGTCGGAGGCGGGGTTCCTGATGGGGTGAAGGACTGTTGTGGGGTTTCTTGCGAGGGTGTAGCATTGAACGAAGACCCAGTAAAGTTGAAAGCAGGAGCGGCCTTGGGTGTAGTCGTAGCTGGAAGCTCTTCGCCCCAATGGAATCCTTTCTGGAATTCAGCTTCTTGTTTCTGATAAGCTTGAAGTTTCGCCGGATCAGGGAAAGGCGATGCTGGGGTGAAGAGGTTCGCTGGAGCTTGAGGTGTTGTAGACTGAGGCTGCGCGGTGTTGTTCTTCAGGAAAGGATTCGCGGGAGTCGGCGTGGTGGTTGGCTCAGACCTCGCAGCATTGTTGAACTTCAAAAAAGGATTTGCGGAAGTCTGTGGCGTCGTAGATTCCGGTTGCGCAGTGTTGTTCTTCAGGAAAGGGTTTGATGATGGTGCAGTCGGTGTCGACTGGAATGAGTTGGGGTCCTTGCGCAGGAATGGATTAGCATTCGCTTCCGCTGGTTGCCCAAATTGAATGCTGTTCTTGGAAGGATCGAAAAGGCCAGGCTGGACGGCTTTCGCGAATGGATTTGGAGTTGTCGTAGAATTGCCATTCGGCTGAAAGGGAGATGCGGTCGCGTTGAAGCCAAAGCCACCAGCAGATGGAGTTGCGTCGGAAGGTTGCTGTTTGAAGACACTGGTCGTCTCTGGAATGAACAACGACGTCTGGTCTTCCATCTGTTGAGCTTGCGTAGCAGACAGCCCGCCCTTCTTGGCTTCCTTCACAGTCATGCCTGCGATGACAGTCGACAAGGGACGACCACATCGCTTGGCCTCGACGATAGTTGCGGAGAAGAATTGAGGCTTGATGTCGGCCTTGGCGAGGACATTCGCTTTCCTGTCGTAGTGCTTCTGTTTGATATCCATGAAGCGCTGTCCTGCCTCGTTGAATTCAAAGACAAAACCGTGCGCTTCGCAAAACTCGACGGCCTCGTCTTCAGTGTCCATGCCGAGTACTTCTCTCAGCCTGTCGGTTGTCCAGAATTCGACGGAAACCTGATGCCGGTAGAGACCGACTCGGTAGCAACGCCAGACTACATCCAGTGCAACGTGACGGACTCTGTTGAAGGATATAGCGGCCGCACATGCCATAAGATATGATACCCGCGGCGACTTGATCAACTCCCAAAACCGCTTCCAATTTGACTGGCATTGTACCCAGTTGTCGTAGTTCCTGTGAATGAGGATAGACTTGAGGAGGCGGAAGATCTCGAGAGCGGTCTGGACCCGTGGGTTGTTCCGTAAATCGCTAGGTAGACGGTGGAGTTCGTTCTCGAGCTGGGTGTTGGCGTAGATGGGAGCCAGGATGAGGCGGTATGCCCAGAACTCGGCCTCGCATTCTGATATGATGTTGGCGCGTCGGTTGTCGGCGTATCGCTCCTTGAGTGAGATGAGAGTCTGATTCAGCTGCTCGACGTCTTGTTGATGCGAGTAATCGTCCTTGGTACTCCGCGCCATGTGGTGAGCCGACAACATGTAGAAGCGGGCGCTGTACTCGAGCGAGGTGAGCAGTACCGCGATGTCGGCCCTGTTCTCGATACGTTGTGTGCGGAGGTCCTTTCGAACGGCTCGTGTGCGGTCCCAAAGCCATGAGTGGAGGAACTGGAAATCGTCTTCGTTTAGGCGGCCGTACAGGTACTTGAGGGTTTTCTGCGGATATTAAATCACGATCATGTAGGAAGTTCTGTTAACTTACCAGACACGTGGCTGGCGACCGAATCTCTGAGACCAGCTCCACGTCCATGCCTGCCGCTGACCGCGCGTATGCCTTGACCATGCGCGACTCATCTGCGATGCGCTGGCTACGGGAGGGTAGGTGTTGGGTCTCGGGTGTGCATTCGGGGGCCTTGACGTCGAGTTCGACTATGCGACGCACGCGCTCGTATTCCGGACACATTTCCTGGCAAAGACCGTATAGCTTGACGGAGTCGATCAGGCGCATCTGGCCTTCAGGGTTCATGAGACCATCGCGGACGAACTTCTCGCGGATCTTGGGGCGCTCCGCTTTGATCTGTGCCTGTCAGTATTGACTAAAAGACACGATGTATGTAGTCCTTACGTGTTGCAGTCGCTTCTGGTATTCGTGAGGTGCAAAGGATGGCGCAGAATTCCCGCCGAACGGATTCGAAGTGGAAGCGTTCCTATAGGTATCTAGTTAGAATAGGCCGCGAGCGGCCATGGAGGCCCTCGTCTAGTATAGATCGCAACGACGGCGGTGGTGTAGTATGCATCCTGGTGATGGCGCCCTCGGTCCGCCCGCGCCCTGTGCTATCGTCAGAGGGAGTGTGCCGACTTACGAATTGCCGGAGTCGTTCTTCTGGCGTCCCTGCCCGCCTTTG